TTAAGTTTGGGATGCCTGTTAGATTTTTCAAGAGCTGCTGACTTAAGTAATTAGACATTGCACTCAGGGAAGTGAGGTGCACTATAGATACAAATACGAGAGTTGTCAGAGTATAAGTGCTATGCCACTCCATGAGGCTGGGTGTGGGTGTGTATGTCTGGAGTAAGGCTGAGGTTGAGCCAACATTTAAAAGAAATGTTGCAACAAGTCTATAGACTGATGGGAATGAGTCGGTACAAAGGGAGATATTGATGATGCAGGAGAGAGGGGGCAGTTTCAGGAGCAAAGTCCTTGCAGAGGCTAGAACAGATGAAGCCAGTGCACAAGTGGAATGGTGAGGCTCACAGGAGCCTGTCTCCCCTAGTATCATGGGCTTCACTCAGAGACCTTGGCTGAGCTTCAATCGCTGTGTATTTGTTTCTATTCCTGAGCAAACTGTAAGCCCAGTGAAGGCAAGACCCTTGCAACTTGTTTTACACTGCAGTTCCTGATGCCATGTCTGGCCTGTGTTACAAACTTAATAGATATTTGCTGTACTGCCTGGATGAATAGACAAACGACCATCCTTGTTTAATAGTTGACAAATAAATATCTGTTAACTTATATTGAATATGAATATTAAAATCGTAGGTGTACACAGCCAAAGGAGGGAAAACTGACATTTTGGATGTCGTCAATTTAATAGTTAAGCCTCGTTTTTCCATTAACAGATGTTTGTGTATTTTTCCAGATTGTTGAGATAAATTTAACTCAAATAAATTGAATGATAATTGCTAACATTTGGGAGTGCTTAGTTTATGTCAGGAATTCTTCGAAGCCTCTATTATGATCTCACTTAATTTTTACATGAGCCCTATGAGATATCTATTACTAGTATTACCATCCTTTAAAGACGAGCACAGAGTGAGCCACAGAGACGGTGACTAATTTTCCTCAGTTTACACAGCAGAGGGCACCTGGTGGCCAGACTGGGATTCAAACCCAGGTGGTTTTTCTCCAAGGCCTACCTACCTAGCCTCTCTCAGGACTTCTAACTCCCTGTTTAGTGCTCTTTCTTAACTGTATGAAAAATTAAGACTAAGATAAGTATGAAAATCATAACTACACCAAGAACATACCACCGATGCTGTCAAAAGATGAATGTCAGATTAGGGAAGGTGTTTGTAATTCTTACCAGAACCGAAGGACTGGTTTATAAAGTGGTCATAGAAATGCATAAGAGAAAGACAAGAAGCTCAATGGCAAAAAGAGTAAAGAACGTGGACAGTCACAAGGAAAAACATATACATGGCTTTTAAACAGATGAAAAGATATGCAACCTTATTGTGGGAATCATTTCGTAATGTATAAAAACATTGGATCATCATGATGTACACCTGAAACTAATAGGATATTATATATCATATTGCAATTAAAAAATAAAAAAGAGAGAGGGAGATTAAAACTATTTGAAGAAACTTTTTTTTTTTTTTTTTTTTTTTACACCAATGAGACTGACAAATATCAAAAAAGTTGGCTAAGAGTTGTTGCTGAGGCTGTGGTAAGTAAACACTCTCATACTCTGCTGGGGAAAGTGCAAAGTAATAACAAACCTCCTGGGGCCATGGGGCCATTTAAGCAAAGTCACAAAGGTGATTTCCTTTTGACCCCTTTACATCACTTCTGGGAATGAGTCCTCAGGTGTAACTATCCACTTGTAAGATGACATACAGATAAAAATATCCATTGCAATATTATTTATAGTACAAAAGATTGGAAACAACTTAAGTGTTCATCAATTAAAGATGGATTATCTAGACTGCATATCCACACAGTGGGAAATTAATCAGTTGTGAGGAGAATTAGGAAGGTCCTTCTAACTGATACAGCAAAGTTTCCAGGATATATTATAAATTGTATGGGAAATATATTATAAATTATAAAGGAAAAAGCAAAGTACAAGATAGTGTGTAAAAGGAAGTGGAAAAATTAGATTACATATGTGCCCATGCTTTAATCTACACTAAGACATTCTGGAAGGATACACAGAAAGTTAATGAACGTGGCTGCCTATGAAAAGAGGGTAGGGCAGGAGAGGGTAGTATTCTAAGACTTTAAACATAAGAATATAAATCTGATGAAAAGTTATGGGTAGGGAAATCAAGACTTCTCAATTTGTTATATTTTTTGATCTTTGAACCATGTATATATGTTGTTATTTATAAATTTAAAAAATAATATAGTGATAGCAGTACCCATGGCTCTCAAAGCTGGCCCGTCACTGTGCTAAGGACACTGCATGAATTATCAAGAATTTCACCTAGTAAGTCACATTTTTATTCCCACTTTGCAAGTGAGGAACAGATTTAGAGAAACTGAGGACATTGCCTCGGGTCACATGGCTCATAAACGGTGGACCCTGGAATCAAACTCAGGCCACCCGCTTCCAGGACCTGTGTTATGAGCTATGACTCTACTAGCACATTGCTTTTAACATTTCTGTTCTCCTTAGAGAAGCATAAGGGATGATGCCCCGTTCGTGGCCTATTCTCATGGGTACTCTTATGTTTGCAAACAAACGATTATTGATACCTCCCCAACAATTCATGGGTAGCAATAGCTCACTGTCGCTGTGGCTTCAGGTGAAGTCATCTGCAGCCATGTGATATCTCCTGAAGGCAGCTGTAACTCTATCCCTTGTTTTCCTCAACCAGAAAGCATATCAGAGTAATAGCAAGTGATTATTAAAAACCACATTTCACATATACTGAGTTTTGTGCCAGGCACAGATGTTGGAAGTACAATGTATGAATGATAATTTAACTGTCATAGAAACCCTTATTAGATAGGTGCTGTTATTGTCACTGTTAAGGGGTGAATTGTGCCCCACCTCCTCCACCAAAGCTGAAGTTCTAACCCCTGTACCTCAGAATGTGATCTTATTAGGAAAAAGGGCCTTTACAGAGGAAATCAAGTTAAAGGGGATTCATTAGGGTGAGCCCGAATCCACTGTGATTGGTGTCCTCCTAAGAAGAGAAAATTTAGAACCCTACAGAAATGCGCAGAGGAAAGATGAGTGAAGATGGAATGATGTAGCTGGGAGCCGAGGAGGCCAAGGATGCCGATCACCAGCAGAAAGTAGGAAGGATCCCACCCAGAGCCTCAGAGGGAGCACCGCCCTGTGGGCACCTTGATTTCAGGCTTCTGGCCTCCAGAATAGTGAAGCAATAGATTTGTTGTCTGAAGCAGCCCAGAGTGAGGTACCAGGAAATGAATACAACTACCAGCCTACAGATGAGGGAATCAAGGTACAAGAAGGTTGAGTAACCCGCCCGAATTTACATGGTTGGTTGGTAATGGTGCCTGGAGCTGAGTTTGGGAAGCCTGGCTCCAGAGGAGGGCCCCATTCTGATCATATCTGTATTTTAAAAAATCATTTGCCAACTCCAGTTGTCTGGTTGAAATGATGTGTCTCCCTCGCTGAGGGGTATGCACCCTCGGTTTTGACCTCCACCCTCTATCAAAGGGCAGAGCACGGCCTGTTCGAGCCGGGGAACCCTAACAAGTTCCTAGGGGCCTGGAGGTGAGAGTGCTGGAAGCCAAGTCCAGCTCGGCGGTGCAGCTGCTCGGAGCTGGGGGGCCGGCTGGGGGCTTCGAGGTCCTCCCTGGAACAGCCGAGCATGGCCGGGACCCAGGGGCACAGACTTCAAAGTGGCTGCAGCCTTCCCCACGGCCTCTCATTTTTGATCAGCGGGAGTCTCAATCCAGGAATGTGGGTTGCTTACAGTGTTTTGTTAACTTAAGAAAGGGCCAGAAGGCTAAAGCAACTTGTAGTAAATTGCCTTCCCAGATCCCCTTTGTACCCGATGCCCAGAAAATGTTTTCTGGGTGCAACAGTGCTTTTTAGTGGACGTGGGCAGAGGAAGTGATGGCAAGAGGGAAGGCCTGGTGCAGCATGCAGCCGGACTCGTGCTGGCCCGGGGGGGGGAGGGGGTGGCCCTCCGTGGGTGATGCAACCCTGTGAGCAAACCAGGGGCCCAGGGGAGCCCAGGAGCCACAGCAGCCCCCCCGCCCCACTGCGGCCCAGGGGCCGGCAGAGATGTGCTTGGCGACAGAGGTCAGATTCCAGAACAGAATCTGGTTGAACCAAGAGTCAAATAATCAAAGTGGAAATGGATGCAGGTTGCGGTTGTATCTGGGCAGAGGGAGAGCGTTTGGCCAGATACGGTGCCCCAGCTCTACCGACAAAACCCGAAATACTTCGATACTGTCCCCAAACCGGATCATTCTGGATCGGATGGCACAGGTCTATGTGTTCTCCAGCAACTCTGGGCACAGCATAGATGTTCGGTAACATCCTATTAATCTGCTTGATTTATTTCCTGGCCCGACTTGGCAGGAGCTTCGTGTTCCCAATGAGGATCAGAGCAAAAGGAGAGAAAGTCTTTGCTGGAATCAAGGCTGACGGGCCCACAGGATGGTGATTCTTCTTGAAAGGAAGAACTACAACCCTAAGCCTGAGGTCAAAACGTATGCCTCTGGACACAGCTTGGGGTGTCAAGGAGGAGAAGCAAAATGCTTAGCCTTTGCCTGACCTGGGGGCAGAAAGGTGATGCGGCCACCCGTTAGGAGTGCTAGACATTGGGGCAGAACGAGGGAGAGATGGATTTTCTTTCCTTTAAACTTTTCAGGGTTTAGGCACTGATAAAGTCCGGTTTAGCAATCATACCCTGGTGAAAACCAGCTTTGATTCTTAATTCCAAGTACCTAAAGACTATCTTGGCCTTATTAACATTTGAATGCCTTGTTTAAAAGAAATTGCTGGAAAGGGCAGCAGGTTTCCTTGGACAACTCTGGAAGACACAGTCCTGTACCTTTCCTCACCCTTTTTCAAAGTTTAAACTTTGGGGCTATCTTAATGTGGGTTGAAATTTCTTATACCTGCTTTCCTGCTAAGAAGGAGACCTTGAAATATCAAAGCCAGCAGTGAAATTCCAGAGACAAATGGAAAAGCGACTCACCTAGGAGTGGGCCCGGCAGTCAGGACGCTTATTTCGAAAAGGCATAGTGCAAAGGCAAACCTCTGGCCCGCAGACATCTGCTCTGGCTAGGCAGTGCCGAGTGGAATGGCCAGACAGGTCCTGCCAGGTGTTGATCTGCAAAGGGCCAGAGAACTGGGAGATGATTACTGCTTGTTTTTGGTCGGGATTTTGGTCAAACGGGGCTTCCTGGGAGCCAAAGTCCAGTCAAAGGAGAGTCGTTTCATAATTCTTGGCCTACTGTTTTCTTATACTGACCAGCATATTGGGACAAGGAACCATGGGTGCTGAGTTGACTGAGGTTAGCAGGAGGGTTGAAAACAAAAAACAAAAACAAAAACAAAACAAAAGGCCAGTGTTTCTCCTCCAGGGAGACGCCAGGAGGAAGAATGAGAGAATGTATAATTTAGGGGAAAAATGGGCCTGTGGATGGTTCTCAGAGAGGCATAAATTAGTAAAAGAAATTAGTCGAAGAAGAGCCCTGGTTGGAATAGGTGGCAGGGACAGATGTGGAGATCTGAGAGCGAACGGTGTGGGTTACTGCCACATGGGTGTAGCAAAGTGCAAAATGCAGTTATAAAGCTGCCTTTCTTTATAGATGCAGTGGATCATTCTGAATCTAGGTAAACTCCCTAAGGCGTGCATAATATCCCGCAGGAGGGAATGTTCTCCTTATCTCAGGAATATACCTGTCAGCCAGATCGATCCTGGGATGGAGCAATTTGCTTCAATCCATCATAAGGGACCCCTCCCCTTCCTATTTTCACTTACCCTGGGACTCGTGGAAAGGGTAAGGTGTCTCCAAAGTGCCAGAGGGTATGGATGCCACAGCGGCTCTTAAAACACAGGTCTAGGATAGAATGACCCGGCCCCCGTGAAAAAACACTGATTCCTGGCCACCGCCCACCTATTCCTATTTAATTGATCTGGGATGGGACCTTGTATCAGTATTTTTTTTTTTTAAAGCTTGCTAGGTCATTCAAATGCGTGCCAGGGCCGGGATTTAGAATGACGAGCTTCAGAAGCAATATTTCATTAAATTTTTGAAAAAATATTTGCTGGCACAGGATTTAAGGGGCCTTCATCAATACTTATTAATTACAAATAGGCAATTTTCCAACGTTAGGACATATGCAGACTGATAACACAGAGGGTGGGGCCGGGGGGTAACAGCTAGTTTTTCCAGCATTGCCCTACCTTTCTGCTAATGGTGCCACTTAGAGTAAAAGTTATTTATTCTCCATAGGCTTTCTTGTTGTGTATGTGGAGACTTTGAGATCTCTAATGGGACTGATTTCAGCCGTTCCTGAGCTTGCTGTCAACCTGCAGATGATGCAGAATTGCCGAGTAATGTGGCGATTCGAATGTGTGCAGCAACACTGGTCCCCAAGCCGATGATGAAGATCTATGCCCAAGGACACTTCTTGGGAGTCTTAGCTAATGACAAGTGGAGACCCGCAAGATAAGGTGACGTTTTATGCTAATTAGACTTAATGCTCATTGGTTAGACTTTGTGATTCTTGATGATTAGATGTGGATGGAGATTGAAAATCACTTCTGTCCTCGGAGACTGACTCACCGCCTCAGAGGGTGGAAGAGGGGAGAAGGGGAATTTCTTAGCTGGCTGCTTGAATGCTGTAGAAGTTCGGTAGAAGTTCTGTTTCTTTTATCCCCATGGTTCAGGCTAAACATAATGTAGCAAAGGAATGGGAGCAAAATAATATAACAATATATTAATTATATATTATATGTTAGTGATATATAATATATGGTATATGTTACATTTTTGTAGTGCTTTTAACTCTTTTTTGACCTTAACACTTATCTGACATTTTAAAAAATGAGGTTTATACTTCTGTGTGTATCTAGGGGAAGTAAAGCATGCTGGACTAGAGAAATGAAAACAATAACATTTTTATTTAATACGTAATGGCTTTCTTTTTTTAAGATTTTATTTGTTTATCTGAGACAGACAGTGTGTGTGAGCATGGGGAGGGGCAGAGGGAGAGGGACCACAGACTCCCCACTGAGCAGGGAGCCTGATGCAGGGCTCAGTCCCAGGGCTTTATCCCGGGATCCCTTTGATTATGACCTGAGCTGAAGGTAGATGCTTAACTGACTGAGCCAACCAGGTGTCCCAATGCACAATTGGCTTTCAAAGAAAAGAAAGGAGAAATGTTTGTCAAACGTCTATGTGTCAAGGTAATATACATGTGTATGTATATATATATATTTATATATATAAATAATACATATAATTCATATATAATATTTTATTATATATGAATAATATATTATAAATATATTTTATATTTATTTATATATAAATAAATAGTATATTTTAATATATATAAATAATATAATTTATATAATTTATATATATAAAATAGCTAACATATACACACACACACACACAGACATACATGTATAAAATCTCATTTAATCCTCAAAATAATCCATTTTACAGTTGAGGAAGCGAAAGCGCACAGAGATCACATCATTTGTCCAACATCACGCAGCGTCTCCAGTCAGTGAGAAACTGGCATTCAAACTTGGTGTGCCTGACTCCTCGTCTCAGTCTCTTCCCACCACACATCAGTTGTGTTATGTTGTTATGTTAAACAACTTGAAACTGTAAAATTTCTCACTAAACCCTCTCAACTCTATAAATAGTAGGCTTCTGGTTTAGCTTTACCGATGAGGCCCAGAGAAATACAGCCAAGGCTGCAAAGACAAAGTGGCCGAGGCGGGATTTGAATAAACATGTCTTCAAACTCTGATGCCAGAGTTTTCCACTTCTGCGGAGGGCTCTCAAAGTTTTCTCCATTCAGGAGCCTTAAAAAAGAATTGTGTTTAATTTCCCTTTGGTTTCAGTTTGCTTGGGAACTTTGTGGCACTAAATTCTATCTATTGCACAATAATTATACTTTTTCCTGTTTTTTAAATTTTTTATTTTTTAAAAGATTTTATTTATTTATTCATGAAAGACACACAGAGAGAGGCAGAGACATAAGCAGAGGGGAAAGCAGGCTCCATGCAGGCAGCTCACTGTGGGACTGGATCCCAGGACCCGGGGATCATACCCTGAGCCGAAGGCAGATGCTCAACTGCTGAGCCGCCCAGGCATCCCACGTTTTCCTGTTTTAAAGTCAGAGTCACGCACGTGTATACATTAGAATGTGTGACCATTATGCAGAAACACTTAATTTTTATTGAAGTGATGTAAATGTGTTGGGTGTAATTTCCATCTGGCTCTCTTAAAGTGATGGAAGCAGTTTTCTGGAAGTTTATTACTAGAAATTTCATGGACTCCCTCAGTGTTCAGGGATCTCAAGATGGAGAGACCATCTCATTCCGTATCTGTTTCTGACTGAATCCTAAAAGATCCGAGTGTCCTACACCAACCATACTGAAATTGTAGTGCTTTCACTTATGACACACACAACTGAGGGAATTAGAATCATTAAACAGCAGGCCCCTTGGTTTGGGGTATGTCCCGTTTCCTGCTATGTCCCCAAAGTCTAGGAATGTGCCTACCACTATTAGGCTTCAACAGTTATTGGGAACTATGCATTCATAGATGAATAAATAAATGTAGATGAGGAAAATGATGTCCAGGAATAGGAGGTGACGACACTCCCAAGGTCACACGGTTAGAGGTAGGGGGGCATCAGGTTCCAGCTCTCTCCCTGTTGGTTCTGTGCCATTTTCATTACAGGACTTTCAAAATGAGCTCTTTTATAAAGCAAGAGAGCACGATTTCTCTATGGAGTGGTTCTGGGGCTGTTTGTGAAGTTCAATGGGAGTGATGTAAGTCTGGCGATCCCTTTACAGTAATAAGAATTCCTGTGGCTCAGATCTGTTTACAGTCACATGGAAGTACTTAGGGCCCCCTGAATTGCATTACAGCACTTCATTTAAGGAAAGACTCAATACAATCCCTCTTTCTTTTGAAGCTGACAAGATCTGGCTATGCCACCTTCTGCCCTTCTGTTCACCAACACTGTTGACTGTCGACATTCACCCAAGACTTTTGACACTGTCTTCTCTCTCTCTCTCCCCACTCCAACTCCAGCTTTCTCTTTAGTGATGTCAGTGTTCTCTGAAATACCACTGCACCTAACTCTTTCTTGATTCCAACAGTTCTATGAATATTTATCTTAACCCCATCTAGCCCACTGTCCTAGCGTCATCCTGTAATGGCTTCATCTTTGCAAATGTCAATATCCTTACTGTCTGGCCACTGTCTCCAAGTCTTCCAAGCTGCCTCATCCTCATACTCTCAATATCCCCTTTCTCTGCTTTATTGAACATCCAGCTCCTTGATTTCTTCATTTTGAGTTTCTCTTATCATTATTGCCTTTGTCAGCCACACTTTTTTTTTTCTTTTCAGTTTGTATCAGGTTTCTTCCCTTACTACGTGGTTGTGCTCAACCTATTGCAGTTTTCCCTTGGCCTTTATTACTCCACTGAAGACCTCCTTATTGCTAAATTTGATGGACACTTCTGGGCCCTGATCTCTGTCGCATAGAGGCATCTGTCTGGACTGGCCATTCTTATGCTTTAAAATTTGCTGTTCCTTTGACTTTTGTGATACATTTCCTGATCATCTGCTTCTCTTTTGCCAGCTCCTCTCCCTTATCTGTTATACAACGTTAATATTCCTCAGTGGTCTGTCCTCTACCGTTTCCACTTCTCAGTCTCTACCCTTCTTTTCTTACCCACTCTGAAGATTAAGCCAACTATTCAGAACCAGAAATCTCAAAAGATTGGTCTGTTGAAGTTCCTTTACCAGGAACTTCTGGTTTTTTCTTTTAGAAGTGTAGATATCGGGATCCCTGGGTGGCGCAGCAGTTTGGTGCCTGCCTTTGGCCCAATCCTGGAGACCCGGGATCGAATCCCACGTTGGGCTCCCGGGGCATGGAGCCTGCTTCTCCCTCTGCCTGTGTCTCTGCCTCTCTCTCTCTCTCTCTCTCTATCATAAAAAAAAATTCATTAGAAGTGTAGATATCTAGAAGTGATACTTCTTGAAAAATGCAACACTAATAGAGTTACTTTCCAGCTTAACAATCTTCAAGTACTTCTAAGAAATCTCAAAGTGGACTTTGATTTGCCTATGGTAATTTGAACTTATTTCTAAAATCACACACAT